CACAGCACAGTTGCCAAGTACCCAATTTGAAAGGGGTTTGAGTGTAGGTGAAACGACCTCTTATCGGACCCAAAACTTACTATATACACTTCTGGAGGTGGGGGGTTTAGAAAAAGGGCAAGGGCTTGCCAAAAGGGCGTCAGAAAAATCATTAGAAATAAAAGTGAACACCCCAAATGGCCAACACGACCACCCGTTCGCATAAGCGAATCCATGAATCCGGGGCGCGTTCGTGTAACAATATACGTAACTCTACAATATCAAATAAACAATTTGGTTTTAGGGAAGGAAGGTCGTGTGTAACAAATCTCCTCTATTTTTATGAGAGAGTATCTGAAATATTACAGGAAAGAGACGGCTGGGTGGATTATGTGTACTTGGACTTTAAAAAGGCTTTTGATAAGGTGTCTCATACAGAAATTAGAGCACCTAGGTGGAGTGAAAGGCAAACTACTCGCATGGATGAAAGACTATCTTCATGAAAGACAGATGAGCACAGTAATTAGAGGGAAGCAGTCTACATGGCGACGAGTAACCACCGGAGTGCCTCAAGGATCGGTGTTGGCGCCGATTATGTTTACTGTCTTCGTCAATGATTTAGAGTCAAACATAAGCCCAGGTAGTTATCTGAATATGACGCAAAGATACAAAAAAGGATAACAGACAACGTCCCATGCCAATACTTCCATAGTGACATCGAGAACTTATTCACGTGGAGTTGTACATGGAAAATAGTATTCAATACCAATAAATACCACGGTCAGGTTTGGAGAAAATAGAAATCGCCCACTATTCTAGTATAAATTAGGGGACGCATTATTAAACACAGCTGACAGGGAAAAAGATCTTGGGATAATCATAAATAGAATCCTGAATCCAAATGACCATATAAATGAAAAGGTCCATCAAATGTTAGGACTGGTTGCCAACATGAAGAGGGCATGTGGACGAAGATATAGTAAAGATTATTACAAGAATCATAAGACCAAATCTCGAGTACGGTGTAGTGGTATGAAATCCACACTTAAAAAACACATTGACCAACTGGAAAGAGTTCAAACAGCGACGATAAGCTGTGCACTTACTCTGAGAGATCTGATTTACGAAGATAGACTACAGAAATTAGGACTTACTGCCTTGGAAGAAAGAAGGAAAAGGGGGGACATGATTATGCTGTCCAACTGTATTACAGGAAGAGTGAAGATAGATAAAGATGACTTTTTGATCTTGAATACAAGAAAGACGAGAGGAAACAAAAAGTTGAAAGTAAAAAGAGGTGATAAAGATGTCAAAAAATATAGTTTCCCAAACAGAACTACTGAAGCGTCTCCCCAAACACGTAGTGTGCTAAAACTGTGCATCAATTTAAAAAGTTATACGATAATTCAAATATAGCAGACGGGACCACCTGAGCTTGGCTCTTCTCCCGTACCGCACAACACACACACACACACACACACACACACACACACACACACACACACACACACACACACACACAGAGACACAGAGAGAGAGAGAGAGAGAGAGAGAGAGAGCTCTACACACAGCACTACACACACACACGCACACACACACACGCGCAACACACACACACAAATATTATATATATATATATATATATATATATATAATATTATATATGTATATATATATATATATTGTGTGTGTCCATACTTCATCTATCTATCTACACACACACACACACACACACACACACACACACACACACACATATATATATATAATATTATATATATATATATATATATATATATTTGTGTGTGTGTGTTGTGTGTGTGTGTGTGTCTGTGTCTGTGTATGTGTGTGTCTGTGTCTGTGTATGTGTGTGTGTGTGTCTGTGTATGTGTGTGTGTGTCTGTGTATGTGTGTGTCTGTGTATGTGTGTGTGTGGCTGTGTCTGTCTGTGTGTGTGTGTGTGTTTGTGTGCGTTTGTTTATATATCCATACACCCATACGCATAGGCGTAGTATAATTGCAAATGCATATGCCTGTGATTACAGTCCCGCGCCGTATTGCCGAACCTTTGAAGGTAAGTATTTCAAGCCTTTATCTTATCTTTGCATGCTTATACAAGAGCGATAACTTCCTAAATATTTTATTATGATGATATCCTGTCATGTTAAAGATTACATTGTGTGTGCAGTCTTTGTTCTGCCATTCATCTGTGGTTCTGGTTTGTCGTTTTCACCAGTGTCACTTTGTCACCTACCATTTAAACAGCCATTATACTCACTGCACAGCTTTTTTTTCGAGTTTCGTGACTGTTCTTGTATGGGTGCTCATATCCAATTCACTGTATCAGAGAAATCATTCTGCAGTTTCTCTTCCGTTTCCGTTCCGTGAAAAGTTCCGACAGTGGTCGTTTTCGTGTACTTCTACAAATTTGTTTTCCCTTATCTCTTACAAATTCGTTCTAGTTTTCGTGTTATAATTTTCCTTTTCCTTTCTTTTAAACGTTTCCTTCAGAGTCGTTCCAGTATAGTCGTCCGGAAGTATTCCCATATAACTTTTTTCTCTCTCCAAATTGCATATAGTAATTTCTTGTCCGTTCTTTCTGCAGAGTCGTTCCGACGTGATCTTTCCTCCTCAAATGTCGTACCTATGCAATATATATATATATATATATATATATATATATATATATATATATATATATATATATATATATATATATATATATATATATATATATATATATTCAAATTCGTGAAATTGTGATATCCTGGTCGTTCGATCGCAACGACTTCTCCGAGCACGCAGCCGTAGTACATGTTCGAAACACTTTCCTTGACCCAAACTTTGGTTTCCCTTTCTCTTTGCCTCGCTGTCGAAACTTCCTGGTTGGTAATTGATGGTTTTATATCAGCCAGTAATGATAATCGAAAATTGATTTTGTAGCTTTTTTATCGTCGTCATAATCTGATCGTAGGAAAAGATATCAAAATGCCTTCCAAGTGGAGCAGCATCCGGACGATAGTGTCGCTTGACAGACCCGATGCAACGAGACCGAGAACGACGATGGCTTCGCTCAGCCTTCGTCTCTATCAGAAAACAGACCCCAAAGCCGACTTTGCTGTGTTATTGGAGAACAAGAAGACGAAGAACAGCCTCCTCTTCCAGGCGGGGACAGTAGCGACCCTATGTAAGTTAGGGAATGGAGAGAAAATCAGGGGGAGTATTTCCGACTGCCTGCAGCTCCTCTTTTGGTCGAGGGAATTATCGGAAATTATATGGATTGGAGGCTGCCGACATCGCAGGGCATTTAGGGATCGGAGGATGAGTTATATCAACATGGAGACCACAGTGATACGCCTTCATAATCAGGCGTAATTGCAGCCTTTTTGGACCGTAGTAGTGCATGACAGGTTACCCCTAGTGACAGTGCTATGACTAGTATATTTTACCTTTTTCAGTGTCTGTCTATCTATTTGTTTATTTATCCATCTATTTCTCTCTGTCTCTCTCTCCCTCCTCCCCCCCCTCCTCCTCCACTTCCCCCCCCTCCCCTCCCCTCCCCCTCCCCTTTCCTCTCTACCCTCCTCTCCTCTCTCTTGTCCTCCCCTCTCTCTCCTCTCTCCTCTTTCCTCTCCTCCTCCTGAGCTCTCCTCTTTCCCCCCTCTCCTCTCCTCCTCCTGAGCTCTCCTCCTTCCCCCTCTCCTCTCCTCCCCTTCTCTCCTCTCCTCTTTCTGTCCTCTCTCCTCTCTCCTCTCCTTCTGTCCTCACCTCCTCCTCTCCTCACCTGTCCTCTCCTCTCACATTTTTTGTGTTATGCCTTTACAGCAAGACATACTGACACTATGATAATTAAAAATAAAAACTACATTTTCTAGTACATGAAAAAATCTGCATAGGTCAAAAATAATGTCAGTTGAAGTAAATATGTCGCGACAAAAAATATGCAGAGTATAAGTCCACAGCAATCTGGTGGGGGTTTGGAGACCAAGCGCCTGATAGTGAAATACAGGGATTGGATAGGAGTCTGGAGACAAAGCTCCGGTCTTAGGAAGGTTTTTGGTTCATAGGTAATGTTTGTGGATTTCCCAGGAGTGGCTGGAGTAATAGGGACTTTATAATACTTTGTAAAAATTACCAGTACTTTCATTTATATAACTTGCAATATAAATCCATGCATAGTAAATTGTAGGTAATGGAAAGAAGCAATGATAATTGTAAGCTTGCATGGCTGTGTTAGAGTAAAGAATTACCCTTTTTGTCACTATTTTTACTTACTGAATGTGTTGGATCTGGTTGTCCTGTGGCTTTTATGTGGTCCATATTACAGGCACTAGGCATACTGAAGTGGTGACTTTCCTGATTGTGTGGCTTGTAGGCCTGGCCCACATAAATACTAATTTGTGGTGCGAAGACACTTTGTCTCCCCTTTGCAGTGTCATTATCTCTCTTTCTACCTAAGTGTATTTTTGTGTTTTGATATTTCCAAAGTCAATATTTGTAAATTTTTATGCTGCATCAGACTGTGTTCCCTATGCAGAATCTGTTTTATTTTATTGGGTAGTGTAAAACAACCTGACAAACATTGTTATATGTTTATTATTATTATTATTATTATTATTATTATTATTATTATTCAATTTTCTGTAACACATCCTGTGGCACCAGACATGAGGGGCAGAAATAGGATCCTGAACATGGATATATATTCCTCCTATGAGCTGGCACTCTACCAGCAAAGGCTAACAGATGATACACTCCATCCATGTTTACTGGTTAAATATGTACTGTCTATTGTTATGGCAACCGTAATCAGCATCAACTGCGCTAGTGCTGGCAGTGCCTTTTGAACATGTGTGTGCATGTTTGGGTTCCAGTTTCGCATTCTACAAGAATTATTCTGTCACCAAATCTGTTTTTAAACCAAGTGCGGTATAAGTTGAAGAAACTGACGCTCATAGATAGAGGGAAATGGACACCGCCATCATATAGCGTGGAAGAAATAGAGTGGGATAGAACATAGTTTGATCTGCAGCGGCCTTGTAGCCACTGATAAATGACAAAGATATTACGTGCAGGCGCCGTTCAAATTCTAAGTCCATCAACATCTTTACCTTGCCAGGAATAACAAAACACAGAATGCTGAACTCATTACTGTGATGTCTGAACTAGTTCATGTGTTACTATGCGCTTGTCAAAACGATATTTGGCTAATTATCAATGTCTCCTGTTATATATTTATGCTTTTAAAGTCTTTTATTAATGTTGTTATACTTTATTTGTGTATTTTAAGATTTATCTATACCCTTGTTTAGAATCGTGTGCATCGAGTGTTTCACACTTTCTTTTGCCAGACATAGGTCGACACTTCACCAGCCCAATCGTTTCGAGGTAGAGTGCCGGTGAGAAATGTTGCTTTTCCAGTATTGTGATGATTTTGGGTTATTTTTAAGACTTGTACAGTGGCAGCAAAGAATAATTAGACTTTTATAACCATACCAGTTCAATATCTGGGCCCATCAAGAGCTACAAATGATGAAAAAAGTGATTAAAATAGAAACAATCCAGACAGTACAAAGAAACGTAGAAAGTTTGATGTTTCCGGATATAAAGGTATTTGGTTGATTATTTTACGGTGGGAATGCAGCTCTATCTTGCCGTACATACTGAGGTGAAGAGAATTTGTCCTGGTGGGTGATAGGGGACAGAGCCCCTCACAACCCTCCCCTCGGGCAGTCGCCTAGTCACGGCAACAAAAATTCATATATTAGGCTGGTTTATTGGTCACTACGCATTTGGGGGGTTTGGGACATGTGAATTTCTGTAGATTTTTGCCGAAAGGTGGGATGGGTTCTGGTAGAGTTTTTGAATTCTGGTGCATCAGACCATAGAATTAAAAAAATGGAGGTTACATCCGTAGAATTTAATAGACTGATTTTAATTTTTTTTGTGCTAGTTTTATACATTTTTTATCATTAATGTTCTTATTAAAGCCTGTTTTACCCCATAATTTCCCTAATATACTTCATGCCCTCCTCTTCTGATGGGACTAACAAATCAAGATCGTCGATAAAGAAATGGTACTTGGTCTCCTGAACAATTCATTTGCACAAGAAACAATGCCTAGAATTGATGAAATCATTGGATTTCCTGCAGAAGAACAGCAAATTTTTTTCGACTTAGTCTCTGGGAGTGTGCAGCTCTCTCTGTGTAACAAATACCCAAAGTGGTTATAGAAATGGAAAAATACTGCTTAGCCTGAAAATCTGGAAATGGATCAGTTTCTCTATCAAGAGACACAGACAACCGGAACACTTCCTAGAATCAAGATTGAGGTTGTCAAACGCAGCCGAGTACTGCCAAAGATGACCTGAATTGGTTAGTTAAGGTTGGTTAGGTTAAGTTGGTTTAAGTTGGCTAGTTTAGGTTAGGTTTGGTTGGAAATAGGAAAAGGCCTCATCAAAATAATTGTCAAAGTGACCAGATTATGCGCATGCGCAATGGACTGTCGTAACTCTAGAATATGAATAAGTGAATACAGCTGCTGTAACTCTCTCCTGTGCCAATTAAATAATGTAAGAGCCCCTTCTGAAAAGTCTATTAAGTCTAATCTTTATTCAGGATCTTTGCGATCATGACAAGTCATTCACGTCACCATGGTCTTAGCTGAATTTTTTTTTACTTTCTTCAGTAAACAGTATCTGAAGCCTGCCTGATAAATGAGTAATGATTTGTTAACCTAATATGCTGGGAAAGCATGGTGTACATGCCATCTCCACTGTGATTTTAGTTTTAAGTGTAGAAATGCTTAATACAATAGCTGGGCCAAAGGCAAACAAGAAAAGCATAATGATAGCAAATTAGTGTGAGAGAGAGAGAGAGAGATTTGATGTGTGAAAGAGTGAATGAGTGTGTGTGTGATGATGAGCACATGCATGTATGTGCATGTACATGTATGTGTGTGTGTATCTGTGTCTTATCTGTCTGCTTGTCTAAATTCTTGAATTTTACCCATATATTATAATCTATTGTACTTTCAGTAACATATAGATATATTCCACCTCCTTTGACCATAGAAAAACATATATAAATTTTTTTTCACAACAGCTCAGCCAGAGACAGATGCCATCAGAGGCGACTACTATGGAAGGCTGCTGGATGCTTATGCCTGTCTTGGGGTGCTCCAAGTTTGCCCCCGTAAGTATTTCAAATGCAGTTACTAACTGAATAAGAGAAAGCATGGAGAAAGGGTTCTGTGATGGAGAAAGGCTTCTATTTTTTATGCAGATTTTTTTTCTCTTTTTCAATACTTTTACAAGACTGTGGTATACTATTACAGTCACCAATTGATATAGATATATCATTAACAACCCTGGTAAGGAAGGGAACCCACACAATTGACTCAGCAAGAAGCAAGAGCAGAACTACAGAACTTCATTGGAGTGTATGTATAGCAGTTTCATGACCCTTTGTTGAGAATCACTCTGAAAATCTACCCACTAGATTCAGAAATGTAATACAAAA